ATGTCTAAAATTTCTATTTCTATATTAAAAATTCGTACAGGGTTTTCAAGTATCACCTCCAGCTTTAGGTAGCAAGAAAATTTTGTGTAACAAATATATTCTCTGTCAATCTTCTCAACGATATACAATTCACCAGTCTCTTTGTTCACATCCAGATATTTCTTGTTGGCGATGATGTCAACTCGCATCTTCCTCTGATTTAGTGTTTTTACGTCCAGGCCGAGATCGGTGGCAAGGTTTGCTATTACTGATCCTTCTTTCATTTCTTCGGGTATGGAATAATGACTGACCGAAGTCGACACAAAATGCACGAAAGAAAAAAGAACAACGAGCGACACGTACCTTTTGTGTGGCTGCATTGTTATAACAGACCCCTTTGTTGTTTGCGTGTTCACTGTTGAAAGCACATCAGCCCATAAAATTCAGCTGGCATAAAACAAAACAAAACAAAAAAATCTATATGAAGACCTTGGTGAAATAATTTGTCCCCCATGTAAATCCAAAGAGACCCCTCTGCAATCACAGCGAAAATGCTGTCTATGATTCGTGCGAGTTTCAGCACCACGCCGCTGTCCTTTTCTTTCAGTGTCTAACCCACTGCTTCACTGTTATGGCGTTTGTGGCCTGGTATTTTTTCGAGTGAACAGCGCCACTGCTTGAATCTTTTAAGTTCTGGCAAGTTATTATGATATAATATCTAAAATCACATCAATGCTGACTTTTCATGAAGTCGGCAGTTAATACATATATTTAAGTAAACGATCGTCCTCGTCACCATGAACATTTCAAATGCAAACTACATCAACTGAAAAATATGAAAACAAAAGTGTAAATTGGTGTCATACCTGCAGAGTAGAAGCTGCTGAGTCACTCGTGTCTGTCAGTCCTGTCCCTCTCGGTATACTGGACACGATGTATCTGGAGCCCTTTGGCACAGGCTGTCTGACCACCAGCTTTCCTTTCCTGGTCTCTGCCAGAAACAGACTGTACCAGTAGGCATCGTTGGACACCAGAGTGGAATCTGCCACAGTGGAGTTCCTCTCACTGATCACACTGTTCCTGCTTGGAGGAGCAGACTTGCTGGGTTTGGGCTTCTGACACTTGAGCACGATGGTGACCAGTATGGTGATGAG